AAAATGGATCTTACAATCCAAGAAAGCTTATTCACCGATGATTCCAAAGCAATGATTTGTTGATGCAGATTTGTGTGCAGCAATTTGGAACAAATTCTTATCTAGGAGAGTTAATTTTTTTGCTTGAGAATGTTCTTGAACGGCTAATCAACCAAAAAGAAATTGGCTCAGAGAGGTGTCCAAGTTGATTGAGGCAATTTCAACTGTCCCTGATGCAACGTGTCATCAGAAGATGTCAATCATGGATTGTTGTCTTGCTCCTTTGCCTCTCAGGTTTTATCTTGCTGGGATGCTAATACACCATTGCCTAAAGCAATTCGAGCCGCCTTTAGGGATGCTTGTTAACGGACAAACAAATAAAAAACTCAATCACGACTGGTCCTTTATGTTCGTTACTACTACATTTTGGAATAATGTTTGGGACACGACTTCAATGCAGCAGAGGCCTCTGCTGACAGGCTTGTTGCTTGTTGGAGCTATTTAGATCAAGTCCTTTTTATGGTTGAAAGATAAGACTAAGAGTTGTGTCTTATTTCTTTATGAATGGATTCTCAACCCTTTCCAATGTCCACTATCAATGGAGTTTTAGATGGTATGATCTTTGTTAGCAATTTGGATATGTAATATGACATTTTGAGTGGTTAACGAATGGGTAGATTACCAGTTGTACTCCAAAGTAATAAATTTTATTTGGTTGATAGAAAAGAACCATAAATAAAATATTAAATCCAACTACTATTGTTTGAAAATGTTCATAGAAGAGTGATGCTTTTAAAGTTAGGACTCTTATTTTAAATGAAAATCGAGATTGATATGCAATACTTTGTTTTAATAAAACACAATGAGAAAATATAAAAAATGGTTTAATTTATGCTTTAAAAATATGGCATTTTAGGTTTTTTAATAAGAGTTTAATTGTTGAAAACATGTAGTATTGAGATAATTTTTCTCTTAATTTTTAGAAGATAAGGTAGATAAGCATTTTTCATTTATATATATATAAAACATTAATTAATGCACACTCTGATTTAACATGTTATATAACACATTCATTAAAAAAATTATAATTTTCTAGTATGAGATTAAGGGTAGATAAAGTTAAAGATGCAGTCATACATACAAAATGCAAGAATTAATTAAATCGAGTTATATTTATATTATATTTTAATAGTTAAACCAAATAAGTGGTAGAAAGTGTGTTAAATTGAGTATGTATTAATCATTTTCCATATATATTGCAAGTACTCCAGTCATTTTTGGTTGATATGGTGTATTTTTTTACTTTTCATGCTTAAATTTCACATGAAACTTTAACTTATATAAACAATAATTGAAATATTTTTTCTTCTTATATGAAATTATAGTTGAGTATTTTTATGAGATTAAAAAATACTTTTAATTATCATCTATATAATATATTAAATTTTTATTTAAAATTCATGTTTAAAAACTCAAAAAATCAAATTATAATTACTAAAAATAAATAAAAGGGAGTAAAAAATAGAAAATTTGGACGTAATCTTGACTTTAAAAAAGTTTGGACTCCTAATTCCAAAAACATCACAAATCATCACTAATCAATGGTTAAATTCTCATTTTAGTCCCTCTACTTTGGTAAAAAATCTTTTTTTAGTCCCTCTACTTAAAAAAGTCTCCTTTTGGTCCTTTTTAGTTATTTCATTAAGTTTTGCAAACGTGACACATTAAATGACATAATTTTTAAAATAGGAGAACCAAAAAGGGGGTCATTTTTAGCCCTTTTTAGTCTCTCTACTTTGACAAAAAAACATTTTTTTAGTCTCTTTACTTAATAAAAAAAAAAAAAAAAACCTTTTTAACTCCTTTATTTTGGAATTTCTATTAAGGTAACATGCTATAAGACAAAAACTTAATAGAGAGACTAAAGAAGAGTCGAATTGCAAACTTTAGGAATAAAAAATGAATTTTTTTAAGTCGAGGGACTAAAAAAAGGTCTTTCACCAAAGTAGAGGAACCAAATTAGGGTTTTAATCGTAATCAATTAATATTTTAAAAAAGAAAAATGATTGTTATACCCTCCTCTAACACAACACATCCATTAATATTTACTAATTTAACTATTAAAATCTATAATTGAAAGTTTTTCTATATTGAATTTAAATTTGAAAATATTAATTTTATAATGAGTATATTATGAAATGTATTAAATCGGATGATGTATTAATTATTGTTCTTTGAAAAATTAATCTTTAGATTAAATATTCTTTTCATGTAAACTGTGGCTTTATTTAGGAAAATAATTGGTACACCATTTAATTCGACACATTTTTCGACACCTGCTCAGTTTAGTTATTAAAAATATAATATAAGTATAATTAATTCAGTTAATTCTTGCATCTTATATGTATAACTGTATCTTTAAATTTGTTTGTCTTAAATTTCATACAAAAAATAATAATTTTTTAATGAGTGTGTTATATAATATGTTAAACTAAAAGATATACTAATCAGTGTCTTTTTCTTTATCAGTGCTTTCGTAGACTTTTTCACATAACGCCTTACATAAAAATGTAAATTTATAATTGTTAGTTAAAATTTTATATACTTCTATTAACTTTAATTAATATTTTAAATATTTTTGGGATAATAAAATACTAAAAAATATATAACTACTACACAACACAGTATAGCACTGACAAACGAATTTATATGCAAGTTAATTTTCACATTGACTGAATATATCTAACTAATTTATTAATTATATAAAATTTAATATTATTGAATATAAGTTAGAAAATACAGGTTTTTTTTTAGTTATAAATATTAAATCAACTTTACAATTGACATCTATAATTTATATGAATAAATAATTTAATTAAGTAATTGATTTTTCAAAATATTAATTAATTGGTGATTTTTTTTAGAATTAAGACTTCAAACTTTTTTTTTTTTTAATCTTAGGTTATATAATGAGAGGCAACTCTTTTTCATTCCTTAGCTTACTCTATTTACATGCTATATAACTTAAATGTAGGATTTCTTCCTTTTATTAAAATTAAATTATCACTAAACTATTTAAGTTGGCAAGATTAAATTTTTGAGAAGTCAAGACTGATTTTCACTATTCTAGTAAGAAAAATGAAGAAAAAGATGAAAAATTACTAATTAAGCGAATTTTAGTGCTTACCTTCCCAAAGCGCAAAAAATGCATTAGGACTACTTAACAGCGATATTAGTGTCCCTGCAATAAATCAGTTATAATTTAAGTAGGATTTAGAAAGAATATATTTCTACATCTAAAAATGATATGGCTATAGTGTTACCTGATATTGAAAGTTTACAATTACTTGTTATTATATAATTAATTTTTTTTATTTAGGATCCACTATAGTATTGTATGCATTTCATTCGTTTAATGATATATCATAATTGTAAGTTTACAATCTCCCTTGGTATTATAGGTATAACTTTGACAATACTAAGAAAAAAGTTTTAGGAAGAATATATTTGGGAAAATGATTTAGGAACAAGTTTTCAGCTATTGTTATGTTTATCACTATTAATTTTGTTATTAGGGCCACTAAAATTATAAAGTTTTTATCTTAATTTAATTATTAAAAATAGTCAATAACTGATAAAATGGTTAATATTTATTATTTAACATATTAAAATTAGTTTATAAACAGATATATCTAAATATTATAACTAATTATTTAAAAAATATATAAATGGATAAAATTACAATTAAAATTGGTGGTTTTAACAAAATAATTGGTGGGCATAATCTCACCCCAACTTTTTTGTACAACATTTTTAAAATATGACCTTACATGTTATTTAATTATTATTATTTTACTCTACTAAGATCCGTAATATTATATGTTTTCATTTATTTAATAACATATAAAAGTTATAAATAAAAATTGTACAATGAAACCAATAACTTAAGTAACTCAATAGTAATTTCTTTTTAGTAAAAATAAGAGTTCTAAATTTAAATTGTATAGTATACAGGTGACATACGTTAAGGAATGGGAGAAGGTTACTTCCTAGTGTAGTAGAACCCAAAAAAAAAAAAAAAAAAGTATAAATGAATTTTCTGCATATCAATAACCATATATTTGTACTTCTTTCGTCTCAAAATAACCATTTTTTTTTACTTTAAATTTTTCTTTTGTTTTTTCACTTTTTTGAGGTCAACAAAAAAAAAAAATTCTTACGTTTTAACGCTATTATTATCCTTCTTCTTTAATTATTATCCTATCATAAAAAAATTCTCTTTATCTTTTATTTTTTTAAGAGTAATATAAATAAATGTATAATTTGTTCCCAAATCATTAATTTAGAGGGCAAAAAAGGCAATTATTATTTTGGGACAAAAATAGTAAAAAAATTAGGAAGAATATATTTTATAGTAGCAATAATCGATTGGATTTCTATAATCTTTAGCCAAAAGGATTGCCTACTCAAAGTAAAGGACGTTGAAAAGATCAGCTTAGGACTTGTCTTTCGTTTTATAAAAATGAAGAACGGATAATTTTCCCTCTCTTCCATTTATTTGCCTAAAATTTTTTAAGTTGTATAATAAGAAATCGGAAAAGTGAATATATCAGCCTATATTATAAAAATTTATGTACATAAATACCTAAAATTATATTATTTTATTAAAACTTATTGAAAAACCAAAAATATTTTAATTTTTAAAGCATGAATAAAATTATTTTAATTTTTTCTCATAATACTTTATTAAAATAACATAATTTTAAATATTTTTTGTTTGATTTTTTTAAAAATCTAATTGATAAATATTAATCTAATAACAAATTTTGTTTTTGTATTTTAGTAATTTGATGTTTATAACCCAAGCCCGTAAAATCTATTTTCATTGAAGGAAGATAAGACCACCCACATTCATCCACTTTATTGGATCACATATTTGCTTTGGTGATAGAAAAGCATTGTGTTTACGAATAATTACGAAGACAGAGCAAAAATACAAGAAAGCAAATATATAAAAACTCTGATTGGGTGAAAGTTACTGCTTACCAATTATCAATAAAGGCATTCCAATCGGTACTCGTATTAGATCCAGTTTGCGTAATATGACTGCAAACAAATGTGTTAACATTCATGATTAATTAAGATGTAAAACTTTGTGAATTTGCGAAAGATTTGTGGCTTGCAAGTTTTTAGGGAAAAAAAAAAGATATATAGAGTTCACTTAAACACAATTTTTACACTTTTTATTTATATAAAATCTTATCTATTTATTTTTTTACTATAAATGTTTGAAATTCATCATAATTTTTTAGGTAAAAAAATTTAGAAAGGATTTTTTTAATTTGTATCTAAAAACACATCTTAAAGATATAATTATTTTTTTAATATTAATTAGTATTTAAAAAATAAAAGTTCACATTATTTAAACAATTACTTAATTAAAATGATTTGTGTAGCACTCATGGTGAAATTAATAATAATTTTTATATTTTTTAATATTAATTAATATTGAAAAAGTATAATAATATTTACATCTTAAAGTTCAAGTTAGAAATATCTTTTTAAAGAATAAGATAAAAGTCGATAAATTAATGTAAATTATTTATAATAAAAAATAAATAATTAAAATTTTATATAAATAATATA